ACATGGTTCAGCACTATTCGCAACTCCTGAGATACTGAAGCAGTCTGTGTTCAAATGCAGCAAAATCAGGCTTGGGCTGACAAATGGCAAGTAACATTCGTGCCATACAAATGCCAGGCAACAACCATCTCCAATGAGAGACAACCTAACCACCGCTCCTTGACATTCAATGGTGTTAACATCTCTGAATCTTCAACTATCAACATCCTTGGGCTTACTATTGACCAGCAACTCAACTGGACATGCCACATAAATACAGTGGTTACAAGATCAGGTCAGAAAGGCTAGGAATCCTGCAGTGAGTAACTCAGTTCCTGACTTTCTAAAGCTGTCCATCATCTACAAGACACTATTCAGGAATGTGATGGAATACTCCCCACTTGCCTGGATGGGTGCAGTGCCAACAACTTTCAGGAAGCATGACACCATCCAGGACAAAGCAGCCTGCTTGACTGGCACCATATGCATAAACTTCCATTCTCTTCAACAGTAGCAGTGTGAATATATACAAGATGCACTGCAGAAATTCACCAAAGATCCTTAGACAGAGCCTTCCAAACCCAGGACTACATCCATCTAGAAGGACAAGGGCAACAGATACACAGGAACACCACAACCTTTTTTTTAAAACTAATTCACAGGATAAGGGTGTCTTCAGCATTTATTGCCCATCCCTGATTACCCTGAGGACAGTTAAGAGTCAACCACATTGCTGTGGCTCTGAAGTGACATTTACACCAGACCAGTTAAGGATGGCAGTTTCCTTCCCTAAAGGACATTAGTGAACCAGCTGGGTTTTTCCTGACAGTTGAGAATGGATTAATGATCATCATTAGACTCTTTAATTACAGATTTTTATTGATTCAAATTCCACCATCTGCTGTGGTGTGATTTGAACCTGGGTCCCAGGACATTATATGGGTCTCTGGATTAACAGTCCAATGATAACGCCACCATCGGCCGCTTGCCAGTTCCCCTTCCAAGCCACTCACCATCCTGACTTGCAAATATATCATTGTTCCTTCATGGTTGCTGGGTCAAAATCTTGGAATTCCCTCCCTAATAGAAAGAAGTGATGAGACAATGGAGTACTTAGTGAATGGCAGGACAGTAGGAAGCACAGGGGAACAGAGGGATCTTGGGGTGCTTGTCCACAAATCCCTGAAGGCGGCAGGACAGATTAATAGAGTGGTTAAGTAGGCTTTATCAGTTGTGGCATAGATTATAAGCAGGGAGGTTATGTTGGAGTCATACAAAACTTTGGTTTGGTCACAGCTGGAGTACTGTGTGTGGTCTGGTTGCCCCACTATAGGAATGATGCGACTTCACTGGAGAGGGTGCAAAGGAGATTGACCAGGATGCTGCTTGAGTTTGAGTATTTTAGCTATGAAGTGAGGCTGGATAGGCTCTGTTGTTTTCTTTGGAGCAGAGAACACCAATGAGGGACCTGATTTGAGGTGTACAAGATTATGATGGGTGTGGACAGGGTGGATAGGAAGCAGCTATTCCCCTTAGTTGAAAGTTCAATATGGAGGGGCATAAATTTAAGATGAAGGGCAGGAGATTTAGAGGGTACTTGAGGAAAAGCTTTTTCACCCAGAGGGTGGTGGGTGTCTGAAATACACTACCTTGGAGGGTTGTAGTGGAGGAAAAGTTTACCACCTTTTGAAAGGTGCATGGATGAGCACCTAAAATATCATAATGTTCAAGGCTTAGGGCCAAATGCTGGAAACTGGGATTCGTGTAGATAGCTTGGTGCAGACTCAATGGGCTGAAGGGCCTCTTCTATGTTATATGACTCTGAAGCTATAGCACTGTAATGAAAACCTGGGGGCGCCTGTGCATGAGTCAATGTCTTCAGGAAAGAAGTGAAATTTAGTCAGGAAAACACTTCAAACCATTGTCTTAGCCAGTGCTCGTGTTCTGCAGCAAACACTACTTGATGATCAAAAGCTCTCCATATTAAGAATACTTTTCGTCTCATTTATTAAAAATTAAACTAATTATACATGATATTAGTTGGTTATTAGTTCATAGGTTATTTTAATTTCCAGGATTTTATGTGCCTTTGCTCTTTTTATTTCTGTCTGTTTTAAGTGTTCAATTGACCTGAAACGCAATGTGCTAGTTATTGGCACAACAGGAACAGAGACACGCTTTTTATCTGAAGCAGAGTTGCCAGAATGTGCCAGGCTGGCATATGGTGTTCCACGAGATGATCTTCGCCCTGAGGAGCTAGCAGACGCAGAGCTGGCTGAGGCACTACACAGATCAGCAGAGGAATCTGGTAATGTTGCAAAAAGTCTTTCCCTTGAACAAAATTGGTGAATATTGTGGGATGCAGTGATTTTAAAATTGATGCCTACTAGCCTACATGATTATTTTAAAGGCAGAACGGTCCCTGATCCAGCCCAAATTTATGAATAGTTAGTCTATAATAAATGTTTCACTTGATGGATCCTGGGTGATGTTGTGGTTTCATGATCATTTAGTAGCAAGAAGGTAAGTAGAAACATTTTCTTCAGTCTTTTGCACAGCTTACTCAAAATTTTGTGTTTTTATTTTTATTTTTGGCTTTATAAAGGTTCTGCTGGTGTTTAATACCATGGGCACCAGCAGACTCTGTTATCTCTCAAAGTGACAAACTTGTTTCTGAGATTAGACAAAAAACATTAGCAGGCCCTTCAATTATGAAGGGGTTCCAAGCTGAGTCCATCCCTGCTCCCATTCAAACACTACATGCATGACATGATGAGATTTTCCTCAGAAGCAACTTTAATTGACCCTACTACAGTAGCAGATGAGAGCAAATTAACTCAGCGTGTCCTGGAGATTGGACTTGGCACATTTTGCTCAATGTGGCTTAGTGTATGTCAGACAGTTAAAACCGTATGGATCTGCACTACTGAGGGAAGTGAGGGCCTGTTCTCTTCCCTATTCCATTTTGTTATATTTCAATATGTCTGTAACATCATGTGTGTACTTATAATTAACAAGACATTAGTATTTACATTTTTTTCCTGGTCAGTCCAACCCCCAGGCCAGCTTCAGAAGCTGGGAGTGCTAATGCAATGAATACTGTCTAATAATATCGCTCATACATGTGTTGTGATGTTTGTGTGGAATGTTAATCTGTTTGATGTCCATGGTGAATTGTAATACTATATGCATGTTGCATGCCTCAATTGGCTAATCAAGTTTGCTGTTTGGTTTGTTTTGGTTTTTCTTTTATCCTAACAGGACGCCGGCATCACTGATGCATGTTGCACTTTTGCTGTCCATGAAGATGATCATAGCCCAGGTATTTAATGTGCTTTTACTTTTAGATGACTTAGAGTCTGGTACAACAGCGAACCATCTTGTATGGAACGATGTGACTTGTTTCATAGTTTAGCTTCTTATTTTCCTCATTATGTACTGAGGCTGAATAATGCCTTTTCCCACTGGCCAATCAAGTCACTTCCAGGATTGCACACTTGTTCCTGTCAGCGGAAAATAATATGCTGAGGTGAACTATCCCTGTATCTGACTCACCCAATAATGGATAAAGTTCCAGCCATCTCTCCAACAATGCAGTGAGATTTTGTAACACTGTGTACAAATGGAAAGGTTCTGCCTGCAATTCAGTAAACACTCCTCGAATTTCCATATCATACGGGATTAAGTTCATTGATATAACATCTATTTTCTGTTACAAATCTAGTTACTACACAATGTTTCGCTATAAAATGCACGTATCAGGGCCAGAGTTCTTTGCTAATGGACTTGATAGGGTATTTACCACAGAGTGACAGGGATATAGTTCTGTGGCCTACTTTATGGACCTGTGCTCATCACTGTTAGTGACAGACTGACAAAACAAATTTCCTCTTGAATAAATTGGTGCAGAATTTGGTGGTAAAATAATGGCACATTTTGAGCGCATGCTGTTATCAGTGCTTTTTAAAACAAATAACAATTTATGTAGTGCCGTTGTGAATTTGACACCATGTCCGTCACCTCCCTTCAGAAGAACGTCTTTAGGGGAAGCCATTCTTTGTCTATTTTACCATAACTTTGTCCCTTTCTTCTTTTTCTATATCCTGGTTTAATGCCCTATACTTCATGGAATCATAGAATCCCTACAGGTGTGGAAAACAAGCCCTTAGGCTCAACAAGTCCGCACTGATCCTCAGAGCATGCCACCCAGACCCATCTCTTTAATCTACACATCCCTGAGCACTGTGGGCAATTTAGAATGGCCACTCCACCTAGCCTGCACATCTTTGGGTTGTAGGAGGAAACTGGACCACCTGGAGAAAACCCACGCAGACACGGGGAGAATGTGCAGACTCCACACAGACAGTCACCTTGGTCCCTGATGCTGTGAGACAGCAGTGCTCAACCACTGAGCCACCGTGCCGCCCCCATTGTATTTTGTTTTGAGATTGAAGAGTCAACTTGTCAGATTCTATGTAGCGCTTCTCTGACCGTGAAATTTAGGCTTGTTCTTCATTGCATTGGCTTGGGGACCTGGGTGGCTCTGCTGAGCAGCTGTGGCATAAGGGAACTATACAAATAACCCAACTCAATTCTTGGCTTCCTATCTGTTCACTGTATAATCGTCCTGATTGACCAGTTGGATCCCAATGATTGTGTCCTTTCTCAAGCCTTGACAACTCAATTCATGCATTCTGTATTCACAAGTTAACTGGGTATTCCTTATCACTCCCTTACTCTGAATTTTTGTAGATGCGTAAAGAATAGAAGGTGGTGGTAATTGCTTGGCTTCAGAAGAGCAATCCAATTAGTCTTACTCCCCTGCAATTTCTCCATATCCTTTTTTGTTTACTTTTCAAGTCTATATACTGATTATTTTTGGAAATTACTGTTGAATTACTGTGGGGAGGCCTAGTGGTGTTATCGCTGGACTGTTAATCCAGAGACCCAGATAACATCCTGGGGACCCAGGTTCAAATCCTGCCACAGCAGATGGTGGAATTTGAATTCAATAAAAAAAAAATCTGGAATTAAGAATCAAATGATGACCATGAATCCATTGTTGATTGTCAGAAAAACTCACCTGGTTCACAAATCTCCTTTAGGGAAGGAAACTGCCATCATTACGTGGTCTGGCCTACGTGTGACTCCAGACCCACAACAGTGTGGTTGACTTTTAACTGCCCTCTGGGTAATTAGGGATGGGCAATAAATGCTGCCTAGCCAGAGATGCCCTCATCCCGTGAATGAATAAAGAAAAAAAAATTTCCTTTTGAGGGAGTGCATTCTAGATGGAAAAGTAAATTGTGCTCACCTCCCCTCTGATTCTTTCGCCGATTATCTCAAATCTGTGTCTTCTATCACAGCCCTTCATAATTTTGAGCCTCTGTTAAAACTTCCTTTTGTGTTTTCTGCTTCAAGGACAACAATCCTGCTCACCAGTTCTTAATTATTATTGGCACAGGTGCATAAAGTTAGCACACTGTGGAAACTTCTGATTTATTGTGGGACTTATGGCTCCTTTGCAAGTAAGGAAATTGTGTAAATAACTTGTCAGATTTTAGTCTGCTGTAGTTGTTTGCAGTATTGCTGTGTGTCACCATACTGACATGTCGTTTACTTCCAATAATAATATTCCGGCATTGAGTAAGATGTATTTCAAAATCGCTTTTAAGGTGCAGCGTGCAGTCACCACATGACTATCAGCCTTCAGGGAATTATGACCTACAGCAAGTTGAAGCATTGTTCCTCGGTAATAACAAGTACCTATGATTTAAATAAGCACTTAAATTACAACAGATTTCTGAACCCTAATGTCAGGTTTGGGTGTGAGTCAGAAGCCCAAACTTTGTGATAGCAGTCACCTACTGTGATTTTCTTTGGAGCAGCCAGTTAATGGCCAGAGGGCAAGCTTCTGATCCAATTAAGGACTGTAGCTGGGTTCTTAAAGCTGGAGGGCCAGTAAGAGATTGTAAAGCTTGAAAGCAACAGCAGTGTTGCGATAACAGGAAAGTGAAGGAGAGAGTGCATCCAAATGGTTGTTCAACACACCAGCTTTTCACAATTTAAACTGAGAAATGACCAAAGCTTAAAATAAAAAGATGAGGGAGTGTGCAACCTCTCTGCATTGTGACCTGTGGTTGCTGCTGCACACAAGCAGGGAGGGCTTTAAGGTCTACCTGGAAACCTGGCCTCTGGTCTGCTATCAAGAGGCTATATTGGCTCCCACAGCCTGTGTATACCTTGACTAAGTGAAATCCCTAATTGACCTCGAGTTGTTGGTTGGTTTGCCGAGCTGACTGGTTTTCGTGCAAATGTTTCGTCCCCCCTTCTCAGTGAAATCTTCAGTGCTGTCCAGCCTCCGTTGAAGCGCTGTTGTTCTGGTCCAGTTTGTCGTGGTGGCGAGTTCTGTTTCTGGTTTTGCTCCATAGTGATATGTAGATGGGGTCTATTTCAACATGTTTGTTTCTGGTACTAGTGGTTGAAAACCAGGCTTCCAGGAATTCTTGTGTTTGTCTTTTTTTCGCTTGTCCTAGTACTGTTACATTTTCCCAGTTAAACTGATGTCCTTCTTTATCGGAGTGAATAATTGACCTCCTTTAAGTGGCTCTTAAGATACTGGATCAGCTGACCACCCTTGCAAGCAGGTAGGCCTGCCACACACCATCCCCACACCTCATTCCACCCAGGAATGGTAGCCCAGGATGAGTTGGAATTGGGGAATCAGCAGACCATCTAAGTGATTTTTTTTTCCAATCCTGGCCTAGGTTTGGGCTAAAAACCAAGCTTTGTCAGCTCGATAGGTAACTGCTTTTTGAGTTCTGATCTCTGCAGTAACAATAACTGAGCTGGTGTTATTGAAATTTTTTTACTGACATTTAGCCAAAGAAATTGAAAAGCCATCTATAAAAGTGGTCATTAACATGTATGTGTGGTGCTAGATTGGTAATGAATAGAACAGGGTTTAGCATTAGAACTGCTGGATTATTTAGTCGTATTGTGGTTTGGAATAAGATGTCTACATTGGAGTAATCTGAGACTAGATTTATGTTTTTCTGTTTTAGGAAAAGAAAATGGCAAAACTACCTCATTGGAAAGTCCTTCATTACCAGCACCTCATCATCTTCCTCTCCCACTTCCCATTACAAGAAGTGACCTATCTCAGGCCCCCAAAACCCAAAGTCAGTTGGACCGTTCACTTTCCGTCCCTGCTAGCCTTCCTTCACAAAACCAGAAGTTGGAACTTACAGATGTAAACAACCTTCAGCTCACTCCTGAGTGCATGGAACCTCAGGCAGAAAAGCAGGCACTGTCAGGATCATTGGCCAATAAGTTGACCCCTCTCTTTCCTTATAATCTGTCTACTCCTTCTCAGGCATCATTAGGGGAGAACCACATACCACAGGGTGAAAGCATTCCTTGCAGCTCACAAGACCTTTTGAACTATCCAACTTCAGATACCAATGATGAGTCTCTGCCAAAACATGTCTTGCCAAACAAGAGTCCGTATGAGGTTGGCATGGAAAAGGGTGACACCACGCGTTGTACAACCAAAGCCTGGCAGGAAATCATAAACAAAGAAGGTTTAGAGGAACCACCGACAAAAAAAATTGGAGAGATTTCTTCAGCTGTACAATCAAATAGTGATCCTGTGTCTGATCTGGGTTTGGGTAACAGACTAAGCCAACAAGCCTCACCTGAATTGGCTTTTGCTGCTGGTTCTAACATAAATGAAATGCAGCAAGGCACTGAAACTGGAAAGGGGATTGATGATCCTGACAACCTCATTAAGCCATTAGATATGGACCTTGAAATAGCTGAAAAAGATCCATGTAGCTGTCAAAAGAAATTTGAGACTAATGAAAGACCACCATCTGAATCTTCAACTGGAAACATTGAAATCTGCGATGCTGAAATTGTAAACTCTACTCAGCAGCTGGTAGAGGAAATTAGATATTCAGCATCAAAAAAGACGGAAAAAAGTAGTCAAAAGGAGGGAAAAGTCACTATTTCAGATCAGAAGTTGGAGGATGGACATTTAAGTTCATGCTCCTCCATTGCTCAGGAGAATATGCCTGCTGAGTTATCAAGTGGCTGTGTGAGGGAAAAGTCTGAATTTGCTCTTGTCACTGAAAAAGAGCATGGAGAAGTACATCCTTTGACTGAGATTAAACAGTCTTCTTTTGAGCAGGATCAGACAACAGACTCTGATTCACATTTTTCCCCTGTGGCTGCTTTATTTGAACTACATCAAAAGTTAGTCGTCTCATGTCAGGAAGCTTCTTTGAAGATATCCGTCAGCTCGGAGGACAACCATCGGTCAGACATGACAAATCAGGAAGAAGGTTTTCAACTAATGGAGGTGTCTGAAGAATGTTCAGATAATAATGCTTTGAGCAGAACGTGTGTCAATGCAGAGGTGGATACTGTTGCTGTGGAAGAGCAAAACGAACTTTTGTTAACTGCTAATTCCAAAATTTCTCCAAAAAGAGACAACAGTGTGGAAAGCTTCAATGAATTTCCAGAAAAATCCACTTCAGATATGGCACAAGTTAAACCTAATGAGATTTTTGTGCAAGCATCAAAAGATGAGGCTGCAGCTTTTATTACTGTGTCTAAGGATCAAACAAAGGAAATGGAAGTTTCCCATACTGAGGAATCTTTGCAGACCCAAGAATTATCAGTACACCCGCATGATTCTGCAGCAGCTGAAAGCAGCCAGAACACTCAAAGTAGTGAGATACATTTGCAAGAGATGACAAATAATGTAGTCTGTTCTTCGGAGGACCCAGAGGTTTTAGCTACACCCATGACAGGGGAAGGGACCATGGAAGCCAATATGAATCAGCCTAATAGACATTCTTTGGGTAGTCCTCTAGAAGTGCTCCCCCTAGCTTTCCCGGCTGCTAATGTTGCACGAATAAGACGATCAGGATTCACTCAGCAAGAAGCATTGGAAGCCCTTGAACGTTTTAATGGCAATACAGACCTGGCACTTCTGGTTCTCCTCGCAAGAAACATTGTAGTTCCTATTTGAAGCTGTCCAGTAAGAGTCTGTAGGACAGTAATAAGTTGGTACTATTTTGACATTTGGTCTACAATGGATACTGTGGTGGGTAAAAAGGAAACATGTTTCAGTCGGAATCATTATTTTTGAATAGTGTTGGGAAAGACCTGTTTCAGCTGTTGGTATCATAGGTGGCATCTGTCACTGGCAGACCAGTTTTGAGGTCAAGTTGTAGCAACATTAGTATTTTATTTCAGTGCCATTCTTGATACCACTTCACTGAAATATTCACTAGTAGCCTATAAGCCAACAAACCTAGTCAATTCAAGTATTGGCCTTTGTGCAGTTTAAACTGCCTATAATTTTTAACTGCATATTCTCCAAGCACAGGAAGAATTAGTACGAAGAAGTTTGACATGGCAAGGAGAAGAAAAGACGAAGGTAGCAGGTTTGAATCCTTGGAAGATGATCTACGTGTACGTGGGTATTCATGGTGGAATCATGTTAGATTTAAAATTTTTGCAAGGTCAGTAGTTATCGCCATTGGATTTGGGGGTTACTTGAATGTTTGACTTAACCATCAGGAGAAGTGGAAAGTCTCTATCATGTTTCCTCCATAAGGATAAAAGTTCACGTTCTCACCTTCTGAGTACACAAATTTTTAGAATTCCTTTACTGTTTTATAGCCTTTGTTAAATCTGACACAGCAACACCACCTCTGCTGGACGTATGTCACATTTGAGGCACATTCAGTATTCAGTTGGTTTTAAAAAATGTTTTATGAAGGTGTTTGTGCTATTTTTTTTCTTAAATGACAGTAGTGATGTTGCTGTAATCTTCAATGGCTGCTTAGTGCAACCTCTGGTCTTTGTTTTTTCTTTTTTAAAACCAAATAATTAAAAAAAAAGTTATTGCCAAACAAAACATTGGTCGTGTGTCAGCTGATGCGAGTGCTTAAAAAGCTATCTATGTGAAGAACTATGAACTGTTTCTATTTCTTGCTTCTAAAAGCTGATATCATCTAAAGGTGCGATGATGAAGTAGCAGGTTAAAGATATGGAGGAGGGCAGATGGGAACAAACAAGAAGAAAATTTTGATTCGGTACTGACATAAAAACCTATAAACTATTCAAGGCCATAATCTGGATTTTCAGGGCTGAATCTTTACTCTCAGGGACTGATGGATTGGGGTCATATCAGAAATTAAAATGTATGAACACTGTAACAGAAACCAAGTCTGTCCACTTCCAGGTTTAACAGAGGCAGGATGCGCGGTGGCAGAGAACGGGTTTACTTATTTAAATATTATAATGAGGCCACGTGCCTTTGTTTTACCACATTCTATTTTTAACCATAGACAGCTAGGTATCCCAAAGCATGAGAGATTCAGCAGCTTAAATATCATAATAAAATCATAGAATCCCTACAGTGTGGAAACAGGTCCACACCACTCCTCCGAAGAGTATCCCACCCAGACCCATTCCCCTAACACTGCATTTCCTATATCTAACACACCTAACTTAAACATCCCTGGGCACTATGGACAATTTAGCATAGCCAATCCACCTACCCTGCACATCTTTGGACTGTGGGAGGAAACCCAGGCAGACAGGGGGAGAATGTGCAAACTCCACATAGACAGTCGCCCGAGGCTGGAATTGAACCTGGGTCCCTGGTGCTGTGAGGTAGCAGTGCTAACCACTGAGCCACTGTGCCGTCCCAAATATCTTTACAACATAGCTTGTGGGTTAGGAGCACTTCCTCCAGAGCCAAAAAAAACTGAGTAAATTGCAATCTTCACCCCCCCCCCCTCAAAGTCCTACAAGAGCTGCCTGCATCACTGAACAGAGTCAGACTCACCTGTGATTCGTCCTGTGATAAGGATTACTTCAGGCCACCTTGGAACTCCTCATGCAGTGGCGACCTGGGTTGCCTTTGTATTCCGTTGTTGCTCTAAGTCTCTGAAAGTAATACTTGGTTCTCTTTAAAATATTCACATTGCAGGGACATTAAACAAATACTTTTAATGAGCTTAAACCAGAATATGATCACGCCAAACGGAGATATTCTCTAGGAATTGAGCTCTCACTGGCTTCAAATAATAAGAACAGATTTGTCAAACTGAGCCGCTCATCGGTTTTGGGCCTTTGAAGTCAGCTTTCCAGCCAGAAGGAACCCCACTGATGGCAGCCTTACAGTTAAATTCCGCTATCTGTCTTTACCAAACCATGAAAAACACACAGCCTGCATTGTGGTCCCAGAATTTTTAAAACTGAGCAATGTTTCTGTAGTTGGATTATTTGCATACTGCGTGGGATAAGCTGAGCTTCCTGAATGGGTGACATGCATCACTGTAAAGACATTTCTTGACACTGATTTTGCCAGGCATTCCTGATAGCTAGTAGATATCAAAGCCTACAGAGCAGTGTGTTACGGGTTCAATCACCAGCTTGTGTTGAGTTTGTTGATGCCAACTGGGGCCATAGTTGGGATACTTCACCTGGCTTTAGTAATCCTAAGAGAACAAAGGAGAAATAAAAACAAAGTACTGGAGAAACTCAGCAGATCTGGCAACATTTGTGAGAGAAAAGCAAAGTTAACTTGTCAAGTTTGATATGACTGTTCTTCAGAATTGAACTCCCTTTTCAAAGCAGTCATACTGGACTCTGAAAATTAACTTTGTTTCTGTGTCTATTTTAGATCATCAATATCTGCAGTATTTTACTTTAAACTAGGAAGGAGAAGTAGGTTTGCTGCTCTTTTTCACTATCCACTGACCCTTGTTGGAATCTTTTGTGCAGGTGGACAACAAAACAGGGTCATATCTATCTTTGACTGCCTTTACGTGTTCAGCAACCTGCCAAAATTCACTCTTCAAATCATCTCGTGAAAAATGGGCTACTTCGTGTGATACCAGTGAGCATCGTTCTACCCCTTAGATCTACATCCGATCAACAGCTGACACGTTTAAAGTGTTGTATTTCTTCATTTAATTCCTCCACATTCAGTTGGACAAGCCGGGCTTACCAATAGGGTTGATCACATCCCCTTTCTGATATAGATTATGCTGTTAGAACATCACCAAAGATGATACAAGAACATAAAATATAATACAGGAAATATTAAGAACTTGGCTATGGTTAAAATAGCGCTGCTGCTTAGTGGGAGAAGAAAGCACACATATAACAATAGAAAATGATGGTAAATCCAACAAAAGGAACTGCTTCACACAAAGGTGAAAGGCTAGTCATGGTCAAAGGAGGAAACCTCTACTGTAAGGGGTTAAAATGTACCCAGATACCTGGCTAGGGTAGATAAAGACCAGAAAGGGTAAGCTTTGGTCAGATGGTCATTTCCCATCCTTGATAATTTTTCTTTTGATCCCTTTGTGTTCATACATAAAGGTGGATTCATCATTGATAGACTGTTGTATTTAGCTCTTCTTGGGGTTTCCGGGGACCTACTTTGGAAACATTGGGCAGAACCTAGATGCCAACAATTCCCAACTTGAAAGTCAGAGTGGTAGTCCTGTGACTCCAGCTTGCTTCTCTGGCCCTCCATCAGTTACCGACATCTCAGAGCATGCTGCATACGTAGCGACTTCATGCAACTCATCAACAACCAGGATCCCTGGGTCCCTGACAGTAAAGTGGAATGTGAATTTGCTTCTGCCTGATATGTTTTAGGCAATTGACAGGAGCCTTGCAGGCCAGGGATTACCAGTGGACTGTGGACTACCAGTGCTTGAACAAGTACATGGCTGGGCATTAAAAAATGCTGCCAGCGCCAAAGATCGAGGGTGGCAGGTACTTCCGTCTGTGGTGAGTGGGAGAATACACCGGGTATGGTGCCATAAGTCATGCTTTATATGTAATGAGCTGCGTTTGGGGTGGTAGCATGGAGAGAAACCCTCCATGAAATTTGCCAAAATTGACAGAGCCAATTTCTGGTGAAATTCAGACCAATATCAATTCTTTAGGTTTCTAAAGTGAACAGAAGAAAAGTTCATAATCTGGAAGAAAATCATAATGGTCCCAAAAAGGCATGGTAAGTAACCTCAATTGCTGTACTTTAATCTGAGTCTGAGGAATGGAAAGTAATCTGTGTCATGTGTGATCAGCCTGCAGGAATTCATTGAACAAGAATGGAATATTAGGTTTTCTATCCTAAAGTTAAGCAAAGCATTCTCCATTCAGTAATACTTTTTTGCATCTTGGTATCAATCACTGCCAAGGTCAGCTCCCTATCTCCGGTTGTTGGACATACGTTAGTTTCTGAATAAAAGACCAATGAATGTTTTGTACTTTCTCAATTTCCGTTCCCATTGTGAATTGAAGGTTGCCATGGATGCAATTGGCAGTTGGTTCAAAGTCACCACATTATTAATATCCTTGGCAATGCCTTTACTTGACTAACATTCTTGGTTAACTCTTTGTTAATGCAAATTCTTGATATTATGATTATTGGTACAGTATAACAGTTATTGTGCATTAGGATTTGACCTGTTTGCTGTTGAGATTGATCTTGTTTTCAGGATCTCCTGTTAAAATCTACAATTGTATTCAAACAAATCTATTCATTAGGCACTGTCTATACACTTCTCAGATCAGCTTCTGTTAGAACATTGCCAATGTGAGTCTGACTTCGATTACAAAACACAATTAGGAAAACAGGAAATGACAAATAGGCTGATCTGCATCTGAAAGAGAAAGATCAGTTAATGTTTTAGATCCTACCTTTCATCAGACCTTGTGACCTGTCCCCCACCTTCCCAAACGAAAATGGGATAGGAGCAATGGTCACAGCTGAGTCTGATTGGGTTTTTGTCTGATAACAGATAATTTTCATACATCCAGACTCTTTATCAAGTTTCTTATTTGTGGCTACAATCAGTCCACCAGAGTAAGTTGCATGCTTATCTATACCCATTAATTAGTAAAACCAATCATAGAGTGCATAATACCTTTAGACCACTCGAGAAATCGCCGTAAACTGCGTACAGATTTTAGATTACTTGGCCTGATGTATATGGTTTCTAAATCATACCACACAAGTCCTATCAATCCAACCTCGTCTTAAGTATTCACATCATCAGTGGCCAGTACCAAATGGTTGCAATTTGTACCAGCTGTAGGATGCACTGCAGGAACTGGCTATGTTTTTTCAACGGTACTTGAAAGACAAAATACCATTGTTTCCAAGTTACCCTTCAAGTCACAGAATATTCTAACTTAGAGATATACTGCCATTGCTGGATCAAAATCCTGGAACTTCCTAACCATTGTGCTGTAGAAGAGTCTTCACAATGTGGACTGCAGTGATTCAAGTGCAAGGTTCACCACCATCTTCTCATGGCAAACTAGAAATAAGAAAGAAATGCTGATGTCGATATCCTGACAATGAAATTTTAAAAATGAGCCCATTGTGCAGGATATTCTCCAAAATCTGATAAACTATTGCTTTCATCTTGGTTGCTAAAATCCTCGTTAATTTTTCATTATTCTTGTTTTTACTCTTTTATCAATTTTAATTTGGAACTGGGAACTGAGAGCTAAACAGGTCTTGGACTACGGGTAATAGTTGTGTTAAAAGGAAATCAGACCAAACAAACTTTTGTTTATTCATGAGGCCAGGCTTGCAAGTTAATTACAGGCTGGTTCATGATCAAAATGTTCTGCAGACACTTTGTCACCAGAGAAGAACATTATGTTTAAACAGAGCATAGAGGTTGGCTAATAACGAGGTCAGCACCTAGGTACTGGTTCCAGCAAGTCTGGAAAAGGCACAGTGCTCAAGCAAGTGGAAGATGTTGAATGGTAACTGACCTTGTGGAGGAGACAGTCTGTCAGAGAGCGGTCAGAGTTTGAATTGGGTTTTTCTGTGAGAAGGAAGATGGTGCTTCAGTGTGAAGATTTGAAAGCTTCCTGCCTGACTTCCCATGAGCAGCTCTTGGAAGCTCAGGCAATAGACAACTAAGTTATAAATAATACTACCTTTGTCTGAGTGAACTGAAATGAGGACACTGATCGACATCAAAATCAACCACGGAACAATCATCTGTACTGGTGAAACATCACATTCGTAAAAAAAAACTTAAGTAATCTGCCCAGTTTTGTTATTTCATTTATCCCCTAACTGTTTGTTTGTCTGTCTTTTGTGTGAATGGGGATTGAAAACAAATTCTTTTGGGTTTAAAGCATAGACTTTAACCAAATTACTTTGTTTAATTTACTCTGCTAAAGTTACTACATTATTAATAAACTGCTAAGTCTTTTGTTTAAGATACAAACCAATGTCTGGAATTTGTTATTATTGAGATTGGTTATTCAAAAGTTTGGTTAGGAACTATTGGGGTCAATTCTGACGGTCTTTAAAGGTTTTAATTTTACTGTGTTGGCAAGTACAGAGGGAGAAAGGCTGATTTGATTCAGCTATCTGTCTCCGTGGTGTAATGTGGTGCACCCATTTTGTTTTGTTTATGTTAAAAGCAAAAGACAATTTAAGTCCTAAGTCTCCAACAGTGTTGTAGGCATAAATTTATGCATGATGACAGGAACGGAATCATAGCAGGACCAAGTTTACTTTTGGACCCAATTTTTCACACTATTGACAAAACAAGTTGCAAACCATGCCTCTTGCCCCTCTGAAATATAGAAAACACCACATTATTGTTTTCCTGATGACGTGATAGTATTGAAGCATTCAAGAATTTAAATTGTTCAAATAATAGTTAAATTAATATAGAAAATAATCAGCAATACTTGACTTACACTCATCATGAAAATAGAACAGGAATAGATCATTTGGTTCATCAAGTGGACTTCACTGTCCAATGGGATCATAGCTGATGTTATTGTGGCCTTCACTTTTCTGTCCATCCCGAATAACCTTTCACCCTTGTGTAGATCAAAAATCTGCCCAGTGACCCAGACTCCAGTACTCCATGAAAGAGATTCCAAAGAATGAGAAGAAAATCCTCCTCATCCCAATCATAAATAGAGACCTCTTATTAACTGTGCCCACTGGTGCTAGATTTTCCCGGAAAGGGAATATTCTATCAGCATCTACCTTGTCAAGCCCCCAAGAATCTTATGTTTCAAAGATTCAAATTACCTCTCATTCTTATCAGCTCTAAGGAATATGGACTCAACCTGCTCAGTTCTTCCAAATAAGACAACGCCTTCAATGCAGGAATTAGCCTTTTGCACCTGTTCTAAAGTGCTTCCAAAGCGAGCATATGCCTCCTTAAGGTGGAGAGTAAAGTAATATTACGTTGGATTATACAGGTTATATACAATACAGAATTAAGCTATTAATCCCAACTAGTTCATAATGGCATGTATGCTGTACTCAAGCCAACTGCTATCTTTGCTCAGCTAAACTGGTTCTTTGTAAACCTTTGTTCCCTACTCCCTCATAAATTCTTCTAACTTCTCCTTAAATAAATTGTTTGATCAACGCATTCTTTCACACTTTGGGAAAGAAGTTACTGAATTCCCCCCCATTGGATATCTCGGTGACCATCTTATATTAATGGTCTACTTTTCCACACAAGAGAAAACATTCAGTCTGTATCCAGACTAACAGAATCTTTCATAGTTTTAAAGATTCTTTGAGGTTACCCCTCAGTCATTTCTTAAGAAACCTGACCATTATACAAACTCAATTCTATGAATTTGTTAGTTCATCAAACAGTTGAAACATTGAATCATCCAGTGACGAAACCAAACAATATTACGGTTTGCTTTCACCAATTAAAACTTCTCTCAAAGGTGTTATTTGTTGTTTTGAAGATACAGAGCTGACTGGAAATGGGCTTTTTGGGCTATGGTCTTTAAAACAGTGGTATTGAGGTTCTGCTCTAAGTTTATACAGTGGTCCCGGGTGGCAGATCCAATAATCAATTGATAAAGCAACACAATCCGAGAGAAATGGTCATAAAAGCTTATAATACCATGTGTCAAGAGTTTGACCTCAGTTGTGTTTGGTGCATAAACAACTTGTGCTGTTAAGAGTGTCTTTAACAAAGAAGATATTGCAAAAATAGTTACATAGGGTGGCCAAAAATATCCAAAAACAGATGATCAAATAAATGCTGAGTCATGTGATGTAGATTAGAAGGAATACCAGACAGCTCGGCCAAAAGTCTAGTTTTTGAGAAAGCTTTGAGGATCCAGATGTTTGTGGCAAAGACAGCTAAAGACAATGCCGCTGAAGGTGAGACAATGAAATGAAATGCACAAAAGATTAGAAGTGGAGGACAGAGGGGAAATGAGACTGGATAATGTTACAAAGACGAGATATATAGAGGCCATGGAATGATTTACAATGTAATGCATTGGAATACAGTATGGGTTAGCAATGATGATCATGAGGTAGTATGGGACAGGATACAGAAAACTAAATGTTGGGTAAATTGGAACTAGTGAACGCATGCAGGATGACGCTGAAGAAGTGATAGAAGCATGAATAAGTATTTCAGTGGCAGAGAACCAGGAGTATTGGCAGGATGCAGACTTGTGATAAATAAGGTTTGAAGCTTAGCACTGGTTGAACATGATACCAAGGTTTCACACAGTCTGATTTGGCTTAAACAAGTGGCCAGGGTGGTGACTGAATCAACAGTAGAAAAGCTGAATATATGGCAAAGGTCACAAACAATAGCTTTGGTCCACCAAAGGAAGTTATAATTATCCATGACAATGTCAAGGAAGTAGAGAACTAAGGGTTGATCCTGGCAGGAGTCAGAGAGTGATAATAAAGTGAATGGGAAGAGAAGCAATTGCTGAAGCAAGTATTTTAATCTCCAGTAGGTAAGAATGAAGCAAAAGTTGTTAAGATACTGATAGACAAGTAAACTTGCAATTCATAGATCCCAATTTCATCCTAATGGATTTTATAGAACACAGATGAGAATAAAATAGCTGAATCTTTGCAAATTCTAAATGTTTTATTCATCTACCTGAAGACTTGCCAGCAAGTCCAAAGAAATGACAGTCTCTCTGAGCCAGTTGAATTTTCAGTTTCATCCATCTTTCAATGTGTCA